ACTCACTGCCCTGGCATGAGGCAGGAGGCCAAGCTGCAGAAAACAGTCTTCTTCCCTGCAGCCTCACTGGCATGGAGATTTTTGGGGACGTCACTCCAGCATTGCTCATACCGTGCACTGTGGGGAGAGCTCGTCCGTCCCACCTGCGGGTGCCAGGTGAAAGGGGAGCTGCCAGGGCTGCTCGATCCCAGTGGGATGCGCAGCCAGCGTGCCACAAGCTCACATGTGTGCAGGGTGGCCCAGCTGGGCAAGCTGCAGTGGGGCTGGGAAAGCGGGGGGTGGGGAGGCAGCATGTGTGGGTGCTGCACCGTGTCCTGCCTGGAGACCAGGACAGCTGCTTCTTGGGAGCCAGGCTGGCGTGGGCGGCTGGGGATCGGTGCCAAAGCTCATGGGCAGCGTGCGGAGGAAGGTAGCACTAGGAAATCGTCCCTCTGCTTCCTCCTGGGGCTGTGCCCCACTAGGGCTCCGGCACAGTCTGTATGTGAGCAGATCGCCCCAGCCCCTGGGGTGCCCAGGAATCACCCCCCAAGGCCCTAGACCTCGTCTGCTGCTGGCCTGGAGGGGAACCACTTAACTCTCTGTTGGGTGCATGAGACCACCCACATGGGAGGGCACTCGGCTCCCCCTGAGCATGGCAAAGACGCGGCCGGAGGGAGGGCTTGCTGGCTGCTGGCCCCTTTGCTGATCTGCTGAGTGACGGGAACAGCCTTAACTCAAACCATAATCGAGAGCGTCTGCCGGGGAGACACCGCTTGGACCTTGGAGATGGGGATACAGGGCCTTTCGCCTCCAGGGGCACCAGCTCTGACCTGACCTTTCCCCTGGGGGGGCACTAACTCCAGCCCAGCCCCAGGGTGGGGAGGGGGTGGGCTGTCTGGTTCAGGGTAGGCGAAGAATGGGATCCAGGCCCTTTCCACTCTAGGGAGCCCTTGCCCCAATTCAGCCCCGGGGCAGGAGGACTGGCTGAGAGGGCCGCAGCCCCCATGGGACTGACTGCAGCAGGAGCCCCTCCCCAAGCACCAGTTCCCACATGCGCCTTCCCAAGATGAGTCACTGTCTGCTTCCAGCTTCTGCTGCAGAACAAACAGCTATTTATACTGGCCTCCTCTCTGAGGCTGCTCTGCAACCCCTGCCCCCCCAGCCCCAGCTTCCAGCACTGGGTGTTGGGGGGTGGGGAAGGGACCTGGGACCCCTGAGTCCAGTGGGGTCTAGGAGTTGGAGTAGGGGGGTCGGGAGTCAGGACTCCTGGGTTCTATCCCGGGGGAATGGGAGTGGGATCTAGAGGTCAGAGCAGCGGGGATGGAACGGGTTCTATTTGCTGTCCTGCCATGGGAACACAGATGAGTCCATTCCCCTCTCTGTGCTTCCGTTTCCCCTGTGGGGTGAGTGAGTGTGCGGGGCTGTGTGACCCTCAAGAGGCAGATCCCAGACTACTAGCTCGCTCTGCCGTCCTGCCTTGGATCCACAGCCCCCTAACATACCCACCCCTGTGAGCAGACTCAGCCCAGCCCCAGGGATCCTGCAGAGACACCGCCCCCCCCCCATGGGTGTGATGATTCTGCCAGATTTCAGCCCAGCTGGCTGTCCTCCTGGGCACATATAATTGGCCCCCTTGATCTGACCAAGGTGCGGGGGCCCAGACCCCTGGAGAGGTCCCTGCAGGGCAGGGGGTGCCAAGTTTGCCTGCCAGATAAAGGGTGGATTTACCCCTTGTCCTGTCAGGGAGCTGGTCCCTCACTCCCCATTCCAGACACACACCCCATTGTCCTCAGCCCCAGATCCGGTATCAATTCCCAGCTGCCCCCCACCCCCACCCCAGCAGGAGTCTCCAGCCACAATGACGGCTTTGTGGACCAGGTGGTAATGTGAGACAGCCCAGTGCCCCCGCCTGGCACCGTCCCCGGGTACCCTTCCCCCATGCTGCAGCCCTGCAAGGTGCACAACCCGGGGAGAGGGTGCCCGGGGGGTGTGCGTGTGCGTGAGCAGGAGGAAGGGTAGGTGTGCATGCCTGAGTGTGCAGGTGTGATGGTGCGCATGCAGGAGCAAATGGGCTGTTGCGTGAGTGCGTACACGACAGAGTGTGTGTGTTGAAGTGTGTAGGGCAGACTGTGTGTGCAGGCCCCTGTGTGTGTTTGGGAGGGTGACAGAATGTGTGATGCTTGCTGTGCACTGACCTGCATGTAGTGACGGTGATGATGGCTGTGCTGAGGATGTGACGCTGTGTGTGTGTGTTTGTGTGTGTGTGTGCTGCCCTCCACTGAGCTGGTTGTGTGTGTAGTGGGGGGGGGTGTCTGTGTGTGCTCCTCTCCCCTCTTACTGAATTTAGCTACAGTGCAATGTGGAGCAGCAGGGTGTGCACACAAGAGAGGGGTGTGCATGTGGGTCTGTGTGTGTAGGCAGCTGTCCTGGTGTGTGCGTAGGTCTGTGTGTGTAATGGTGAGTAGGTGTGCAAGTGTGTACAGTGTGCATGTGTAGCTATGTGGTGTGTGTAGTTGTGTATGTCTATGTGCCGCATGTATAGTGATGTGTTTGTAGCGGTGTGCAGTGAGCGCACACAGTGTGTGTGTAGTGTGGGGTGCAGCAGTGTGTGTAGCTGGTGCAGTGTATGGTTAGCGAGGGGTGTAGGAGTGTGCAGTTTGAGTGTAGTGGTGTGTGGGGGGCATAGCAGTGTGCCGCGTGTGTTCAGGTGTGGGTGTGTGTAACTGTGTGCAGTGTGTGTGCAGCGGTGTGCGCAGTGTGGGTAGCTGTGTGTATAGCAGTGTGCAGCTGTGTACAGTGTGTGTGTAACTATATGCAGCAGTGTGCAGTATGTGTATAGCAGAGTGTATCTCTGTGTGCATAGCTGTATGTATGTGTGGCAGTGTAGTGTGTGTGTAGCAATGTGCGGTGTGCGGTCAGTGTGTAGCTGTGTGCAGTGGGTATGTGTAGCTGTGTGTGTAGCAATGTGTAATGTGTAGCGGTATGCAGTGTGTGTAGCTGAATGTAGCAGCGTGCAACTGTGCAGTACATGTGTAGCTCTGTGTGTGTAGCTGTGTGCACTGTGCAGTGTGTGTGTAGCTGTATGTAGCAGTGTGTGTAGTTCTGTGTGCACTGAGCAGTGTGTGTGTGTAGTTCTCTATGTGTGTAGCAGTGTGTGTAGCTGTGTGCACCACGCAGTGTGTATAGCTCTGTGTGCACTGAGCAGTGTGTGTGTAGCTCTGTGTGCACCATGCAGTGTGTGTGTGTAGCTGTGTGTGTGTACCACTGTGTGTTGCTGTGTGCACAGCGCAGTGTGTGTGTCTGTGTGTAGCAGTGTGTGTAGCTGTGTGCAGTGTGTGTGTAGCTGTGTGCACAGTGGAGTGTGTGTGTAGCTGTGTGCACAGTGCAGTGTGTGTGTGGCTCTGTGTGTGTAGCGGTGTGTGTAGCTGTGTGCACAGTGCAGTGTGTGTGTGTAGCTGTGTGCGGTGTGTGTAGCGGTGTGCACAGCGCAGTGTGTGTAGGTCTGTGTGCGTGTCGCAGTGTGTGTAGCTGTGTGCACAGTGGAGTGTGTGTGTGTAGCTGTGTGCGGTGTGTGTAGCTGTGTGCACAGTGGAGTGTGTGTGTGGCTCTGTGTGTGTAGCGGTGTGTGTAGCGGTGTGCACAGTGCAGTGTGTGTGTGTAGCTGTGTGCGGTGTGTGTAGCTGTGTGCACAGTGCAGTGTCTGTGTGTAGCTGTGTGCGGTGTGTGTAGCTGTGTGCACTGTGCAGTGTGTGTGTGGCTCTGTGTCTGTGTAGCAGTGTGCACAGTGCAGTGTGTGTAGGTCTGTGTGCATGTCGCAGTGTGTGTAGCTGTGTGCACAGTGGAGTGTGTGTGTGTAGCTGTGTGCGGTGTGTGTAGCTGTGTGCACAGTGGAGTGTGTGTGTGTAGCTGTGTGCGGTGTGTGTAGCTGTGTGCACAGTGGAGTGTGTGTGTGGCTCTGTGGGTGTGTGTAGCGGTGTGTGTAGCGGTGTGCACAGTGGAGTGTGTGTGTGGCTCTGTGTGTGTAGCGGTGTGTGTAGCTGTGTGCACAGTGGAATGTGTGTGTAGCGGTGTGTGTAGCTATGTGCACTGTGCAGTGTGTGTGTGTAGCTGTGTGCGGTGTGTGTAGCTGTGTGCACTGTGCAGTGTGTGTGTGGCTCTGTGTCTATGTAGCTGTGTGCACAGTGCAGTGTGTGTAGGTCTGTGTGCGTGTCGCAGTGTGTGTAGCTGTGTGCACAGTGGAGTGTGTGTGTGGCTCTGTGTGTGTAGCGGTGTGTGTAGCTGTGTGCACAGTGCAGTGTGTGTGTAGCGGTGTGTGTAGCTGTGTGCACAGTGCAGTGTGTGTAGGTCTGTGTGCGTGTCGCAGTGTGTGTAGCTGTGTGCACAGTGGAGTGTGTGTGTGGCTCGGTGTGTGTAGCTGTGTGCACAGTGCAGTGTGTGTGTAGCGGTGTGTGTAGCTGTGTGCACAGTGCAGTGTGTGTAGGTCTGTGTGCGTGTCGCAGTGTGTGTAGCTGTGTGCACAGTGGAGTGTGTGTGTGGCTCGGTGTGTGTAGCGGTGTGTGTAGCGGTGTGCACAGTGCAGTGTGTGTAGGTCTGTGTGCGTGTCGCAGTGTGTGTAGCTGTGTGCACAGTGGAGTGTGTGTGTGTGGCTCGGTGTGTGTCGCAGTGTGTGTAGCTGTGTGCACAGTGGAGTGTGTGTGTGGCTCTGTGTGTGTAGCGGTGTGTGTAGCGGTGTGCACAGTGCAGTGTGTGTAGGTCTGTGTGCGTGTCGCAGTGTGTGTAGCTGTGTGCACAGTGGAATGTGTGTGTGGCTCGGTGTGTGTAGCGGTGTGTGTAGCGGTGTGCACAGCGCAGTGTGTGTAGGTCTGTGTGCATGTCGCAGTGTGTGTAGCTGTGTGCACAGTGGAGTGTGTGTGTGGCTCGGTGTGTGTAGCGGTGTGTGTAGCTGTGTGCACAGTGCAGTGTGTGTGTGTAGCTGTGTGCGGTGTGTGTAGCGGTGTGCACAGCGCAGTGTGTGTAGGTCTGTGTGCGTGTCGCAGTGTGTGTAGCTGTGTGCAGAGCTGTGTGTGCAAGGCCCGCGTGCTGCATGCGGGGCTCGGTGCGGGGAGGACGCGGCCACCTGACCCCACAAAGGACGCGGCTCCGGCTCCCTCCCTCGCTCGCCTTCCCAATTTCCCCGGCTCCGCTGCCCGCACGCAGCCGGCAACATGGCGATGGGGCGCTCCCCGGCCGGTCGCTAGCGCGGGGACCCCGCTCCGCTCCGCTCCGGCCCGCCCGGGGAGCGATGCTGCCGAGGCGCGCCCGGGACACTTCCCCGCCCCTCGCCGCCTGCGCTCGCCCGGCCGGTGATGGACTGAGCCCCGCCGGCTCCCCGCACTCCCAGCACGGGGTGAGTATGCGGCCCCGGCCGGGGGGGTTTCGCCCGCAGAGCCCCCCCCCCGCTCCCGCCACCGTGTGGCTTTCAGCCCGGGCTGCGGGCTCCTTCCCCCCCTTGCATTGACTGGGGGTCTCGCCCTGGGGGGCTGCTTTGAACCCCACTAATACCACTGCTGTTTTTAATAATCTCTTTCAGACCCCCCCCCCCCGGTTAAACCTCCCCCCCGCACCCGCCTGGCTGATTGGGGCTATTTTGATGTGATGTTTCTTGGGTGTGTGGGGGGGTGTCACTGTGCTGGGCAAACGCGGCTGGGGAGTTCCCAACCCTTGGCACCCAGGCACGAAGTGTGGCAGGGGCGAATGGCCGTGCCCAGGGGGAGATGCTTATCCGGCCCCAGCGCTGCGTGTGTGCAAATGAGAGTCCCCCGGCATCTGCGTGTGCCGCCTTGGTGCACCACGCAGCTGATCTCTGCCCCCTGCGTGCCCCAAGGCAGAGATGTGGGCACGTTTGCTGCCCTGTGGCTTCAGAGCGGCCCCCAGAATGCGTGTGCGCAGAGCAGAGAGCGGGGCAGGCGTGCTCTTTGCACCGCCACATCCATCACGCCACCCAAACTAACCTCCCACTGGAAACAACAGCGGCACCCACGGCCGAGAGAAAGATGGGAGAGGGATTCCGGCTGGCTGAGCAGCCACAGCTTCCCTGGAGCAGAGATGCTCAGGACCTTTGAAAACTGGGCCTGTCAATTGCCAGACATACCCCCACTCCCTCTGCATATCTATCACTATGGCCCCCCGCGTCTCTTTATCTCTATCGCCGTATCCCCACTCTCCAGTATCCTCAGGAAGGGCCCTGGGGGTGGGACTGGGCCCAGTGTTTGCTGATCCCCTCCGAGATGGGGCGTTAGGAATAAAAGGAGAAACAAGGACGCCCTGAGTTAAATCAAGACACCATGTGCTTCAGAGGTGTGCATGCATCTGCGTAGGAGTGTGCGTGCATCTGCATCCATGTATGTGCAGCTGTGTGTTGGGTGCGTGTGTGAACCTGTGTGTGTTTGTCCCCAGGTGTGTGCACGCCTGTTCTGTGTGCACGTGTCTGTGCATATGCGCGCACACACACATATACACCTGGCATGGGCGTTCACACAGACATGGCAGGGGCTGGAGGTGATTTCCATTGTTGGCCTGTTCAGGTTAAGGAGCAAATCAACCCCCAAATAATGTGGCATGCCAGTGACGCCTGACCCAGCTGAGGGGTGGGGTAGGGGTTGCTGATCTGGAGACAGGCAGCACTGGGACACACTGACTGGGGAGTCTGCATTTCCAGAGTCACGGCAGAGCATGGCAGCAGCCTGCCTACAAATGCTCCGACGTACCAAGGGGATAGAGACATCAGTAGATGTACAGCGATTTTAGATGGGGATAGATAGCTCGATAGCTAGACAGAGAAAGCAGGATTAGGGTTGGCAGTTAGATGGCTAGATAGATGGGTACGTGTGGAGAGAGAGCACAAAGGATTTGGGGCCTGTATCGCTCCATGAGGCCAGATCCCTCCTGCGCTCTCTCATCTATCAATCTGTGTAGCTGCGCACACGGGCGAGCAGTGCAGAGACACACACGCAGCCTGGTTCTGCGTTTCAGTCATCCGCCTTAACAGCCCGGGGACCAGTGCGGGTGGAAGGTGTATAGGGTTGTGTGGATATATTAACACATATAGAGGTGTGTGAGGGGGTCTTTATATACACATTATCCAGTTGTCTGTCTCCAAACGCACCCCTCCATCCATCCATTCCAGGCCTTATGGGGGAGGGGGACACAGGTGGTCTCCCTGCTCTGGACGGGGCTCAGTGCCATTCCTGCCCCGTAGAGGGTAGGTTGGGGACACAGCTAGAATGCCCTACGCTGCGGCTATTCTCTGCTCCCAGGGTCTGGAGGTGCCAAGTGTAGTCTGGAGTAGCCCCAGGCTGTCCTTCCTAACCCTGCTGCCTGTGCATGAGCAGAGTCCGTATGAATCAGCCTAACAGCCTCTGGAACTCACTGCCACAGGAGGTGGGCGAGCGGAGCTGGAAAAGGGGCAGGTGCTGAATTACTCTAGTATCTACAACAATATCTGCCAAGCTGCTGTGCTCCCTTAGTCAGTAACAGTTACTCCAGGGCCTCACCCCGGGAAGCCAGAAGAGGTGCCCGCGGCCAGGGGAATGAGTTCTGTGAGCAAAGGGGGCAGGGGCACCTCGTGGGCAGGGCACTGGGGGATCCCGGGCCACAGTGACACTTCAGAGGAGCTGGACAGTGCAGGGTTGGCTGCACGGCTTTGTTATTGCAGGGCCTCTTCGGGGTGCTGGGGCTGCACAGGTAGATTTGTTACTCAAGGGTCTCTCAGGGGGGCTGGGGCTCTCTATCCAGCACTTCCTACCCCCTTAGGTCTGTTTCTCCCTTTACTGAGTCACAGGGGGCATCCACATTGGTTCTCCTCCCTGGTTTCTCAATCTTGGTAGTAATGAACAAGCTTTTGTTCGGGGGGGGGGGAGGGAGGGCTTGCTGAGCAGCCGGACTCGCGAGTTCTGTCCCTGGCCTGGGACAGGCTGTGCGGCATGCGCCATTGCTCATCCCAGCCCCTCGTCCACAGCCCAGCACTGACCCACGTGTCCTATTGATTGGGGCTGCCATCGATAGCTATGTGCCTGACACAGCCTCGGCTTCTGGCCTGGGCCAGAATGCTAGTTAAGGGAGACCGGGTGGGGCTGGAGAAGGTTGCACATAGGTTGTGTGTGTGTGGAGGTCCGTGTTACCAACATCCTCTGCCTGCTCCTGCCCCCACCCACAGCTGCCCCCGGAGTCTCTCTCAGCTCTGTTCATTCAAAAGAGCATTTTGAGATGAGAAGAATCTTTGTGCCGTGAAGTTATGTGTGGAATGGACTCCAGGCCTTTCCCTTGAGGGGATACTGGCTCCAGTCCAGTCTCAGGACAGGGAGACGAGCTGGCTCAGGGGGAGGGGTAATGGGGCCTTTCCCCTGTAGGGTCCAGTGTAACCCTTCCTTTAACTGAGAAACTGCACAAGGTCCCTTCAGGCAGAGCTAGGATCAGAACCCAGCTCTCTACTATGCGACACCCACATCGCCACAGTGCCTCCCACACTGGACATGCCAAATCTATGTGCTTGGCTGGGCACAGCTGCTGCTCTAAGAGCACTCTCTTCCCTCCCTGAGCCAGGAATAGGAGCCAGCCCCTACCCCAGGGGTCACAACTGAGAGCGCGCCAAGGGGCAAACTTATCCCTGGCTTCTCCAAACCTGCAAGGGCTAGACTTCGCAACCAAAAGATTCTGTTCAAACAGACAGATGGGTACGTACATAGCCATCACCTCTCAAGCCAGCCAGCCAAGAGAGCCACCTGCACCGTAAACCCTCATAGGGAGTGGTTCTGGTCCGGTGTGCCACACACCAGACATGATCCAAAACTGTGCATTGAAAAGCGTTTAAGGAAAATGCCTGGCTGAGCAAATGGAACATTTTTGATTGGTAGAAATTTGATTTGGTAGACAAAAATTTTCAAAACAAAAACTAAAAATGGTGGTTTCGTTTCAGTTCTTGACCAACCGACCAAAAAAAGTAATTTTTAACTTTGGTTCTCTTTTGGGAGTCTTTTCCCTATTCTCTTTCTTTAACACCCCAGCCCCTATTTCCAGGGGCGGGGGAAAGGTTTTTTAAAAAAAAAAAAAAAAAAAAAAAGAGAAAAATATAAATTGACACCATTTTTGTCTGTTTTCTCAAAAAAAGAAAAGTTTGCTTCCCTTCAAAGTGACCAAAGTGACTGTGTTTCCATTTTCCCCCAATCAAAAACAATAAAAAACTTCAAATTTCATTATTTTTTTAAAAAAGCATGAAAATTCCCAGTGCTGATTGGAGCAGCCCCTCTCCAGGGCCAGGACATGACCAGAAAGAGTCCAGCCGAGCCCGGCAGGGGTTAAAAGTCCCTCCCATCTGTGTGGGGGTCCTGTCTGAGGTGAGTTTGGGAGATGTTCCCCTGTGCTCTGCACTCACTCAGCAGAGGGGCCAAGAGCCACCTGGGCTGTGGGGACTGAACTGCCCCATGAACCTGTGAGGCAGTCCCTCCCCAGGCTGGGGTGAGTCTGGCTGGAAGCACAGGGTGGGACACTGCACCCGAGGCTGGCCAGACGGAGCATGGGGAGGCTGCATGTAGCTCAAAGTTCTTTCCACAGCCCCCATCCATCTGTTCATCCATCTGGTCAGCACTTGGGGTTTCCAGATCCCTCCTCTACGAGGGTGCTGACTGCGGCTCCCTGGATCCCTCCTCAGGGAGGGCACTGTGTGTGGGGGCCTCTACGCAGCACCCTCCTTTAGCGTATACCTGCGAAACACCCTTCCCTGCCCCCACCATCCTGCTGTGTCTGTGGGTGGGGCCTTTGAAAGGCCCCACCCCCTCCACTTTGCACCAGGCCCCCTGACAGCTGAAGTCCAGCGGGCCTGGCTGGATGCAGTGCTGGAACAATGGTCTCTCTTGCACCAGTTCCAGCGGCTGACCTGCGCAGAAACTAGGCTTGCCAATTTTGGTCGCACATTCTCCTGGAAGTTTCCTCACATAACAATCTTTAACTCCTGGATGCTCCAGGACTATCCTGGAGGGTAGGCAACTCGAGCAGAAACCCATCCACAATTGGTGTGGAAACGATTCCCTAACTCAGGTTGCAGTGGTTGGGTGCAGTGCCAGGTGCATAGCCCAGGCTGTGCGCTCCAGCCATAGCAGGCAGGCAAGGGCAGGTCCACTGCAAATACAAATATTAGCTCTTGGGAGACTCAAATGTGAAGCCACAGAGAGCTGGCAGGGGACCCCAAACAGGCTGGGCCTGGGGACAGCTCCCATCGGCCAGGTGGGACTCAGCCCAGGATATTATTGTAGCACCCCACGGCTGGGGCGCATCAAGGCAGCTGCTCCACACACCTACCTCACAACAGAGGCCAGGTGCTGCACAGACACCCCCCTCCCCACAACTGAGGTC